TTTCCAGAAGGACTCCTAGCTCAAAAAAGAAGTCTGAGAAACCAATGACAGTGTGATATGAGCAGTATCCCCACCTAGCTTCGTGATCAAGACCTTCTGTGGCTGGTCACATTGACGTTTTACCAAAAGAACTCAGTCATCTCTTTCAAAAGCCCCAAAGGTAAACCTCCTTTTCATTAAGAAAATACAGATAGGGACAAAGGTTACAGCTAGAACTGAAGTCTCCTTAAAAAACAGCTGGAGGTGGAAGTAGGGGAAAGGAGAAACGGATTCAGTTAAAATGGAGCTAAAACAAAACAGAACAAAAAATGAACGACCTCAATTTCTAGCCCAGAAGTTTCAAAATAAGGATGAGTTTGTAAACAGCCCACTTATTAGACCTTTTCTCTGTATTCCTGGCACCACCCTCTCAGGTCTATTTTTAGTCACAGGAGAATGGGGAGCAGACAGGGAAGGGCTAACTGTGGCCCGGTCTTACCTTAGAGGCCCTTGCCAGGACTCTAGCTATCTTTAATTAATGTCTGAGGGACATAAGACGGACCCTGCATGTGGTAAAAGGAAGCACAATGGTGAAACTGTACCCCGGAGAACTGACAAGCCCATGACTGGTGTACCATTCCTGAGGTCCCAGGGCTGTGTTTTGTTGAAAAGAAGCCTCCATCTGGAACGTTTACAGAAGGCAATGTGGACACCCTGCATATTTAATTTAGGAGTACAGAAAACAGGACTGCCGGTCTGTTTGTTTACCTAGTTCTGCCACCCTGCTTCACAGACTCACGCTACATTTTATCAACAAATCACTTTTCCTGTACCTTGTACCTTTTCTCAGGAATAAAGAAATTTCCTTTTAAGTGACTCCCTCCTGCTATCCAGTCCACATTCCTAAATAAAGATGAAACCAACATTTCTCATCACCCCACATTTACAGTCTTTCCCTTTCACGATACCCCCGGGAAATAAGCCTAATGCTTTTAAACCACAACAACTCACTGCCATCCAGATTAAGCTTTATTAAATATTAGAGATTAATCATATCTTTGGAAACAGAACCGAATAAGCTAAGAAACTGATAGTGAAATCGATTCTATATACTACCCCAAACTGGCCACCATCAGCATTCTAAAGGCATACCCCAGGCAAGGATGATAAATGGGAGGAGATAAAACGCTACCATTTCAAAAAAAGAAAATCAGACCACAGGGTTACAAAGCTCGGCAGTGACAGACATGTGACTAGTCAGGAATCAACGAGCCGCCTGTGAACAAAGAATTTAAGGGACTCCTGTTAAGACAGAGCAAAGTATGAATAAAATTCAAACAGCTTCTGAATTCCCATCTACTATACTTCAGACTACAGCAAACTGCCTTCTTCCTACACTCAACTCCATTAACCAAAATAGGTCTGTTTATCTAAGACTCCATGAGTTGATGAAAAAAATTAGAATTCCAGAATTCTCTTTTCGCTAAAGAAACCATATGGCTTTCTTTGCTTCTGCAGAAAGTACTTACACTAAAACCATTATTAAGTTTAAGCGATGGTTTTAGTACTAAGTATAGTCAGAAAAATGCCAGTCGACCACATTTAAGGGCATTTGAGTTTTCCACCCTCATTCTGGAGCTGGTTCCTCACCAGTCTCAGATGTCCATTCTGAAACCAGTTGTATTTTCTGAATGAACGATGAAGGCAGGATGCAAAGCAGATGAACATCCTCACACCGCAGCAATATTACTCACTGGGTGAGTGCCTGGGATGTTCTGTAGAGAGGGGTCTGGCAGGGCCTGCTTCCCCTCCCGGTTTTTATTACTTAAGCCCATGCGGAAAGGAGGGGATGCCATGAGATGACCAAGTGACAAGAAGACTATCTGGAGAGTATGTGCAAAGATTATCAACTGCTGGAGAAACCTGAAAGGACTGAAAGACTATGGCAGCACAGCACCATCCCATAGAACCCTCAGCAGTGACGAAATGGTCTCTATCTGTTGTCCAACTGGTAGCCACTAGCTACAAAGCACATGAAATACAGCTAGTGTGAATAAGGAACTGGATTACATTATTTTACTTTAATTAACTTATATTTAAATAGTCAGATGTGGCTCACAGACCCAGCACCGAAAAGCACAGGTTTAGAACACTGGAAAAGCTGACCACAGCAGTCTCCCGGATAAGAAAAAAGCTCAGAGGAGACTAATGTTCCTGTCCTTTCCCCTAGGAATTAAGGGGGAAAAAACTTAATTAACTCCCCTTCTTAACTGTGTTAGTCATTGAAAAGCACATTCTAATCATTTCTGTCTCATCTGAATGTGGACCTAACATCTGATTAGAACACATCAAACGTAGAAGTACTAAAACTGTTTTTTCTCTTCCTGTAAACAATGACAACTTAAGAGTTGAAATAATTATTTTGAATTTTTAAATTTCTCCCTAAACTGAAATGTAAACTTTGAACCAAATACTTAAAAGATAGCTTAAGCTGCTTAAAGATTTTTTAACGTTTTTTTCTTCTTTTTATTCTCCTCTCAGAAGTCACAGTAAAATCTTTCATGTGATTACACTTTGAGACCTTAGAGGAAAAAAACAACCTGTCAACAAAATCCCCAAGTGCTCAGACTAAAAAAGATTCATTCCAATAGCAACTGTGTAGTTAAGTTGGGGGGGCGGGGGGAGCTGCTCTTCACAACCACAAGTTCTGAATATTTAGAACATGTTCAAAAAGCTTTAGCACAACTTATGAAATTTGTCTCATCTGTATTCCTAAAAATCGCCAACACTAGCATCCTTGATAAAAACTGGTTGCAAGCAAATGCTTTTATCCTTATGCGTTGCACACTATAGCTTTAAATGGCAAGTACATTCTAAAGACGTCATCTAGGGACACTCACTCCCTGTACATTATATACCAAGGCTACAGCAGAAAGAAACTATACTTAATATTAACTGATTTTCTTTCTGAACTTCCTAAAGATTATGTTTAGTGCCCTTGAATCTGTTTAAACAACATAAAATGGTACTGGTTTTAATGAAGTTTTTCAAATCCCAAGAAACTGAATACAATTTTAGTTCTAGGATTTAAAAAAAAAAAAAAAAGCAAACTACACAGTTTAATAAACTACAAAAACTACTGCTGTAAACTCAAAATCAACCTTAGAACAAACACCATACCTTTTCTAATAAATAGTTCCAATAGCAGGACACTTGACAAAGCTGTGTGTGGTCTGAGTGACGGTAAAGTCAGTGAATGAACTGAGGCCACCCTGTAGTAGCCAGTCACCTGTCTCTCTCTGCCTGCAGAGGTCTGTCCTTGTCTCCACCCTTTCTACTTTTACCAACCATTTGCATAAACTCACAAAATACATAAAAAGGCAGCATGGTTCCAGGTTGATATAACACATGGTATTTAAATTTAAGGTCTTGCATTAAAGTCTCAAAGAGTCAGTCCCACTGGCACCAGCCAAAAAGTCAAGGAGTCACGGCAATTTACACACAAAAAGGCATGAGGAATGTAGATGCAGGTTCAGTATGGTTGCTCAAACAGCTATTGAATCTCAGGCTGCATTTACAAAATGTAAATTGCCAAAAAAGTTACTATTTTCTACCAAAATTAGTAATGCAGATGCTTCGGGATACTGCATTTTAGCAGGGCCAACAACACATTCAAGGCTTTGGAAGGACCCCCCCTTTGGGGAGTAAGAAGACTAGTCACACACTTGAAAGGGGGAGGAAAGCAGCAGAGGGAAGGGAAGGAAGCAAGACTGCTGTCTCCCAAAGTGTAAAGGGCTAACGTGTGGATGAGGAATAGACTTACTTTGTGTGGTTCCAGGGAACAGAATGACAAACGAGAGAGGCAAATTTTAGTTCAGTGCAAGGAAGACTATGTCAAAGTTCAGGGTTGTTCATAATTGGACCGGCCCCTCTAGAAAGGCAGTGAGCACCTCCTTATTGAAGGCCAAACCTCATGACTCAAAAGACGTTTCCATCATCACAGAAGTTAGATTAGGTAACTCCCTCCCTCCCCCCGCCACATCCGCCACACTGAACAGGAGACATTCACAGGCAAGACCACCTCCCTAAAGTCCTTCGCCTCCCCGTCCTCTCACTCCAGGCTTTACTGCTCTAATTTATTTTCTAAGAAAAAAAAAAAAATCTGCAAAGGTTAGTGCTTTAACAAAAGTTAGGGACACTAACAACTAATAATGAAACAAGCTGACAGTTGGGCAGCTAACTACTGGAATACCAGAAGCAATGCCCTCAGACATAATACTCAGATTTTGTGCATTCTTTGTAGTTCCCCTACATCATTTTCCTAAATAATACTCTTTAAATTCAGTGGGTTAATAGACTCCAAACTCAAAATGACTGAGATTAAAGAGATTATTTTTCTTAAAACTTCTTGAAATTAGAGTGAGCCTTTTACCTCATTCTACAAAGGTTGCAAGCAAGAAGCCTATGCAGGACATTCCTAAACTGCCCTGGCTAGAACCTCAGAGAATTGATTCTAATTCCTCAACCAAACCAGGGATTGAGAGGTGTGGAAGGTAGAAGCGGACTTACCTTTACTTGCAGATATCCGTCCTTCCCCATTATTTCCGTGCTTCCTTAAACCCATCACTAAGTGACCCCACAGTGTTCAAATGGATGCCTAACAGGGTTTGGGTCCTCTTCTAATTCTACCCTAGGCACAAGATTACAGATCCCAGAAGCTCATCACCCAACTATTCAAACTCTAAAATGATAGCACTGTCCTAAGAAGTACTCTCAGAACTTTCTCTGAGGAGTACCCACTCCCTGTCTGGAAATACTTTACGGAGGCAGCTACCGGCCCGCAATCCATCATATACTCAGAAAAACAGGCCAGCTGTCCACTTGATTGGACAAGAAATCCCTGCTTGATTCCCAACCTCTCCGGCACTAGTCTGAAACAGATTATGGTATTTCTGTCCGAATCATCCCTTTCAGCCTCAACAACATATTCCAGACCATCTGCTCTAATGGCCAGGCTTTACCTTTCTGAACGTGAATGATGTCGGGGAAGTTGGCCAGGTGCCCCTGATACAGCGCTAACAGGTCCATGACGGGGTCCAGGTCCTGCCTGGGCTGCTCGGCAAAGAGCTCGCCGATGGCGTCGTAGGCATCTCCGGTGAAGGCGATGGCCTGGTTCAGGCCGGCCGAGAAGGCCTGCTGGTCCAGCTCAAAGGCCTGGCTGAGGCCGCGGAAGGACTGGCCCACCTTCTGATACTCCTTCTTGAAGCCCGTCACCTGCTTGCGCGCGAACTCGTTGGCCGTGTGGTTGAGCTGCAGCGCGCTGTCGTCCATCTTCTTGGTGAAGCACTTGAAGCCGTCGATCTTGCTCTCCACCTCCTGCAGGTCGAGGGCGGCGGCGGGGGGCGTGCTCAGGGTCAGGAAGAAGTTGGCGCCCACCATCTCATCTTTCTCGGCCTTCCGCTTGCCCTGTTTCCAGGCCTTCTCGTCCGTGCTGCTGGGGCAGGTCAGGAAGTGCTGGAAGACGTCGCACTGCGCCAGCACCGGGTGGCTGGCCATGTGGTTCATCCACCAGATCAGGCCCTTCCTGCGTTTGGAGATGAAGTCCTCCTCGAAGCGGCCAGTGGCCTGTTTCTCGGGCAGGTGGGGCACCGAGATGACGGGGAACTTCTCGGCCAGGCGCGCGTACAGCCAGTCGAAGTGCTTGTAGCGCCGGTGTACCGGCACCTGCGTGTGCGTGGGGACCAGCTTGTAGGAGATGTAGCTCTTCATGCCCTTGAACTTGGTCTGTTTGGTGGGATCGTCGATGGTGCACTGGAAGGGGTAAGGGTTCTCCTGCCATTCGGGGCCGTAGGGCCCCAGCACCACGCACAACTTGTCCCCATCCTTCACGAAGCCAGACGCTTCACCCAGCACGAAGGCCTCGCCGCCCGACTTGACGAAGGTGGAGAAGCGGTTGAGGTTGCGGCTTACGGTGGCCGAGCTCTTGGCCCCCGACGGGTGGTGCTGCGCGGGCGCCGAGCCGCCGCGGGAGCCCAGCGACAGGTCGGAGCGCGTGGACAGACGGTAGCGGCCGGCCGCGCCGCCCGCGGACGAGGAGCCGTCGAGGTCCGGGTACGCGCCGCTGCCCAGCGCGCCCGGCTCATCGGCCACCGTGGAGCTGTCGTCCCACTCGTCGTCCCAGTCATCGTCGCTGCCCTGGCTGGCCTGGTAGCCGCCGCCGTAGAGCTGCTGAGGCGACGGCTGCAGGGCGCCCCCGCCGTATGGGAAGCCCGCGGCCGGCGGCTGGAAGGTGCTCGGCGGAGGCGCCTGCTGCGGTTGCAGCAAGGGCTGGAAGGCATCGGGCGGCGGCTTGAAGGAGGCGGGCGGCGCGGCGGGCAGGGGCTCGAAGCCGCCAGGCGGGACGTTGGCGTAGCGAGCCGGGGCTCCCGGGCCGCAGTCGCCCGCCGGGCCGGACTCGGGGGCGCGAATCACCTGCACGTACGAGGCCGGGAAGAGGCCACGGTCGCCACGGCTGTTGACCCCCTCGAGCCAGCCCTCGATGTCCTGTTCGCTGCACAGGCTCAGCACCTCGTGCTCCCGCAGCGAGATCTCGCCCGGGTTCTCCGACCTAAAGTCGTACAGCGCCCGGGCGCGCAGCGCCATGGTCCCGGCTCCCCGGCGGGCGGCCCCCGACTCCCTACGCCGCGAGCCCGGGGCCCGCCCGAGGGGTCCGCGGTGTCGCCCGCGCCCCGGCTCGCGGAACGGAGCCCAAAAGACAGCGCACAGCCCCGCGCCCCGGCCCGCCGGTCGCGCCCTCCGCGCCGCTCGGCTCGCAGCGCCGACTGCCGCGCTGGGCCGCCGCCGCCGCCGCCGCCGCCGGCCGGGGGCGGGACCCGCGGCCTCCCACGTCCCCAGCAGCGCTAATCCACGGCCGAGAGCCGCGCGCCAGGCGAGAGCAAGCGATGGCCGAGCCGCCCGCACCCGCCGGCGGGGCCCACTCCGCGGCCGCCACTGCCCCCTCCAGGCCGGCGCCGCGTCGTCAGGCGCCGGGTGAAGGTTTCCACTCAGAAGTGAATTGTGTGAGAATTGGTCAGGCTCTTAGGTTAAAAAACGTATCCTAGAAAGTAAATTAATATTCGCATTCCTGACAAACGTTCCTACTCTGAGCGCTCGGTGAATGCTTCTAACCACACCTCTAATAAAGGATTTTCAGTGACTATTAGCGACTGCGCCAAGAAGAAAAACAAGATGCCTGTGCCGGGCGCTGTCCGCTCCCTTTCATCTTCCACCCGCCGGAACCTTCTGGCAAGAAGGGGAGGAGGACGACCCGAGCAAAGTAAGGAAGGTGTTGTGTTTGACAAGTTAAGAGGCTAAGGGTGGTAGAGAGGGTGGGAAGAGAGGCGTCGGTGTAGGAGAGTTTACAGTAAAGTAAGTGGGCACGGAGAGCTGGCATTTTGCGTGTGTCCCTTCTCCTCCCCGAGGCACAGGTAGTGCAGTGGACGAGAGAGAGCTTACGCTTCGGAGTCAGGCTGCTGGGTCCGAATCTGATTTCTGACACCACCTAGCTTATGACCTTGAGCAAGTCACTTACCGTACCTCCCTCCTAGGGTTGTTGTGGGGATTCGATAATCATGTAGTCCCTACTTTACAGATGAGGAAAATGAAACAGAGAGATTAATATATGGCAAGTACTCTACATGGGGAGTACAGTTCAGGTGTTTGGGCCCCTGTTGCTAATGTTACTGTTATTTGGGAAAGCAAAAGTCCTGTCCTCCTACATAAAGAGAATAGGGATCCTAAAATCACAGTGTCAGGGCATGTGCACCAGAAAGGACCTCCGTGTTCACACCCCGACTCCTAATCTGAGATCAGTGACCATCTCTCTCCATTCATCTTTGTCTCACTCAAGTTATATTATCTTTAAGATTAGTAGATTTGAAAAAAAATAACTTCCTGAAATATTCATCAACTCCAATCTCCAAAGTTGCCTTGCTTCACATCTTTTCTTTCAGTGTGTAATTTACCCCAAGCTTTTTCTTCTCATAATTATTAAGTCTAGCCTAATTATTCCTTTGAAGACACCTCTAATTGGGATTCACAATTCATATGTCATTAATTTCCGTCTGTCCTCTGACCCTTTTCAAGCAAATCTGGGAAACAGTCCAGAAGAATTTACAATTATTCTAAGGAAGGGCTGTGGTATTCTAAGCATCTTGCACAAAACCACAAACCTAGTATACCAGAATTACTCCCACAATGTTTATCCCTAATGCAAAAACCTTAATTCAATTCTGTAAGCAAATTCTGAATTACAACATATTTAGCTGAAAATTCTGGGTTAGAATCCTTCTTACAGTAAGCAACAGAGGTCACTGAATTTCAATGTCAACAATTTATGTGGTCAGAAACATGAAGTCAACATTTATGAAACATCTAGAATACAATTGATTTCACTTCTTAACTATGAGAAGATAACCTAGAATATTTAGGATAAATACATTGAATTTCACCCTTACTATTCATTTGGTAGTTACTTTTTTAGGTTAAAGGGTTAACTAAAGTAACATGAAACTTGCAGTGCTTCAGGTTTTGAAACAGACTAAAAATCTATTTCAGGTATGGAAATTCCAGGAATTTGAGGTGATGGCTTTTACAGACAGGTTGGGCTGCTCCTTAGAAACAGTGGTTGAGGAACTACTAGACGTCAGAGGTTGTTTGCAGTACCAATGCACATGCAGGTGTTCAGTTTGTAGGAGTCGGTGGGAGGCCAGGCATCAGGCTTGGTGAAGGACAGGGTCCAGCTATCCATGGTGCCTGGCTGTATGGCACCTGGGTGGCTGGAAATGCCCTTTAGGGACTTGGATATTTTTTAAAATGTGCTCAAGTATTAGAAATTGGTAACTGTTCACTCAGGGACGTAGATAAACACATTTTTAAAAGATTTCCCTAGAAAACGGAGCATATTATTCAAATGTATGCAATCATTGTTATAACCATCAACTATTCCTATTTCATTATGTGTTTATAAAAACAAATCATTAGGGGACACTAAATGGCTCTAAACACCCATATTTTCACACTTCTTCTTTGGCCTGGGACGCCTTATGTGGCCTGGCCCTTGACTCTCTTTCCATTCCTTTCTTCCACTAGAGTGAAACCACAGTGGTTTCTTTGCTATTTCTGGAACAAGCCAAGCACATTTGTGTCTCAGATTTTTTTAATAGACTTTATTTTTTAGAGCAGTTTTAGGTTCATAGCAAAATTGAGCAGAAGATACAAGAGATTTTCCATATACCCATTCTTCATGCATGTGAATAGCCCCCTCCCCACTATCAACATCTCTAGTCAGAGTGGTGCATTGGTTACCATTGATAAACCCACATTGGCACATAGTTATTGCTCAAAGTCCATAGTTGACATGAGGATTCACTCTTGGTGTTGTACCTTCTATGGATTTGGACAAATGTATAATGACTTGTATCTGCATCTATCGTTGTAGTATCATACAGATTAGTTTCACTGCCCTAAAAATCCTCTGTGCTCTGCCTATTCATCCCTTCTTCCCTCCTAACCCCTGGCAAACACTGATCTTTTCTACTGTCTCCATAGTTTTGCCTCTTCCAGAGTGCCATATAGTTGGAATCATACAGTATGTAGCCTTTTTAGATTGGCTTCTTTCACTTAGTAATATGCATGTGAGCTTCCTCCATGTTTTTTCATAGCTTGATAGCTCATTTCTTCTTAGCCCTAATAATATTCCATTGTCTGTATGTATCACAATTTATTTATTATTTACCTAACTAAACTACATCTCGGTTGTTTCTAGATTTTGGCAATTAAGAATAAAGCTGCTATAAACATCCCTGTGCAGGTTTTTGTGTGGATACAAGTTTTAAACTCCTTTGGGTAAATGCTAAGGAGTATGATCACTGGATTGTATGGTAAGGGTATGTTTAGTTTTGTAAGAAACTGCCAACTTCCAGGACGCCTGGGTGGCTCAGTTGGTTGAGCGTCTGCCTTTGGCTCAGGTCATGATCCTAGGATGGAGTCCCGCACGGGGCTCCCTGCTCAACGGAGAGTCTGCTTCTCCCTCTGCCTGCCGCTCCCCCTGCTTGTGCTCTCTCTCTCTCTGACAAATAAATAAATAAAACCTTAGGAAGGAAGGAAGGAAGGAAGGAAGGAAGGAAGGAAGGAAGGAAGAGAAAGAAAGAAAGAAAGAAAGAAAGAAAGAAAGAAAGAAAGAAAGAAAGAAAGAAAGAAAGAGAAAGAAAGAAAGAAACTGCCAACTTCCAAAATGACTCTACCACTTTGCATTACCACCAGCATGAATGAGAATTCCTGTTACTCCACATCCTTGTCAGCATTTGGTATTGTCAGTGTTCTAGATTTTGGCCATTCTGAAAAGTGTGTAGTGGTATCTCATTGTTGTTTTAACTTGCATTTCCCTGATGACATATGATGTAGAACGTTTTTTTCATGTGCTTATTTGCTATCCATATATCTTCTGCAGTGAGGTGGTCTGTTAAGATCTTTGGCCCATTTTTAAATTGGGTGGTTGCCTTATTGTTGAGTTTTAAGAATTTTTCTGTATATTGGAAATAAATCCTTTATCAGATGTGTCTTTTGCAAATATTGCTCTCATTCTGTGACTTGTCTTCTCATTCTCTTGGCATTGCCTTTCACAAAGCAGAAGTTTTTAATTTTAATGAAGTCCAGCTTATCAATTATTTCTTTCATGGATCATGCCTTTGGAGTTATGTCTAAAAAGTCATTGCCATGCCCAAGGTCATCTAGATTTTCTCCTATGTTATCTTCTATGAGTTTTATAGTTTTGCATTTCATATTGAGGTCTCTGATCCATTTTGAGTTCATTTTTGTGGGCGGTGTAAGGTCTGTGTCTAGGTTATTTCTTTTTTGCATGCAGATGTCCAGCTGCTCTGGCACCATTTGTCAAAAAGACTATCTGTGCCTCTTTGTGTTGTCTTTGCTCCTTTGTCAAAGATCAGTTGACTGTATTTATGTAAATCTGTTTCTGGGCTCTCTATTCTGTCCCAATGATCTATCTGTTTATTCTTTCACCAATAACACACTGTCTGATTACTGCAGCCTTAGAGTAACACTTAAAAGTTGAGTAGTGTCAGTTCTCTTTGTTCTTCTCCTTCAGTATTGTCTTGGCTATTCTGGGTCTTCTGCCTCTCCATGTAAACTTTATAATCAATTTGTTGATATCTATAAAATAATGCTGAGATTTTTAAAGTTTTTAAAAAATATTTTATTTATTTATTTGTCAGAGAGAGAGCACAAGCAGGGAGAGTGGCGGGTTGAGGGAGAAGCAGGCTCCCTGCTGAGCAAGGAGCCCGATGCCATGTGGGAATTAATCCCGGGACTGGGATTGATGCCATGTGGGAATTAATCCCAGGACTGGGATTATGACCTGAGCCAAAGGCAGACACTTAATTGACTGAGCCCCTCAGGCATCCTAATGCTGGAATTTTGTTTAGGATTACATTGAATCTACAGATCAAGTTGGAAAGAGCTGACATCTTGAGTATTCCTATCCATGAACATGGAATATCCTCCTTTTACTTAGTTATTTAATTTCTTTCATCGGAGTTTTTATTTCTCCTCATATAGATCTTGTATGATTTATACCTAAGTATTTCATTTTCATAGGGTGCTAAGATGAGTGGGATCATGTTTTCAATTTCAATTCCACTTGTTCATTGCTAGTATGTGTAGGAAAACAATTGGTTTTTGCATATTAACTGTGATCCTGCCATCTTGCTATGATCACTTTTGAGCTCCAGGGGTGGGGAGAAGGGTTTAGTTGATTCTCATGGGTTTTCTACATAGCCAATCATGTCAGCTGCAAACAAAGACGGTTTTATTTCTTCCTAATCTGTATACCTTTTATTTGTGGTCTTCTTCATTGCATTAGCCAGAACTTCCAATATGATGTTGAAAAGCACTGGTGAGAGGGGACTTCTTTGCCTTGTTCCTGATCTTAGTGGGAATGCTTCAGACTTCTTACCATTAAGTGCAATGTTAGGCGTAAGGTCTTTTTGTAGATATTCTTTATCAAGTTGAGGAGGTTCCCTTCTATTCTTAGTTTACTGAAAGTTTTTATCATGAATGGGTATTGGATTTTATCAAATGATTTTTCTGTTTCTATTGAAATGATCATATGATTTTTCTTCTTTGACCTATTGATATGACAGGTTATGTCAATTGATTTTCAAATGTTGACCCAGCCTGGCATACCTACGTGATCCCACTTGGTCATAGTGTATAATTTGTTTTATGCATTATTGGATTTGATTTGATGATATTTTGTTG